AGATGAGTGGGGCTCCGCACACCATTTATCCTGGGCTTAAACCTTTCTCTGTGAGCTCTCTGTCGGCGCCCGCAGTCAGAATAAGATGGGGGAGGGTGTGATAATCATTAATCTTAGCCTATGTGACGCCAGCGTCTTATCCAAATGGCATCTCAGAAACCGGTCCAAGACCCATCTGTAACATGGCTTAGAAAATACTGACAATCCACAACCTCGTGCTTTTAACCCACACAATGTGCAGCCAAGGCCGGGCGTAGTTATTGTACCTAACTACAATGCAGCCCGACTGTAGCTCAAAAGATACACAGCAAAGCATCGGCTGTGCAGTAACAGTCATGTTTTACGATATGGGACAGGCAAGTTTGTTCACGTCGGCTGCCTAGAGGCAGTAGAATGCGGCTGACACCGCAATTGTTGGTCGTTTGGTTTGCCTGAACCCTTTACATGTCATTCCGCCTCACCGGTAACATCCCTCAAAGTGAGATCTACAAAAACATGTTACACGATAAGGTACAGATAGACTCTCTGGATTGCCGGTTGTCTTTTTTACGGTCGGAGACCCGGCTAACGGCATGGAGATAACTAACAAACCTATCCACGCGGTACATTGTGATAAGACTTCAAGGAAAGCGAGTTACGAGGGTTCATTTTTCTTGTCTGGCTAATGCTCCCATGTCATAAATACATGTACACGTATTTTGTTGTCAGGTGCAAAAAGAAATCATTTTCTGTTACCGTTGGTGTGTGTTGAAATGTATGTATACATTTACGATTCATGTAAGGTTCAACGTTCAATAACTGCATCATGCGTGATAGGCGTCCGAGGCCTTTTCCTCTCTTGTCTCTTCTTCATTCTTTACCTTTATTCAAAAACAGTGGTCAGCATAACAGCAGTGCATAAAAAATTATGGACCGCTGAATGATACATAAAAATACAATGTAGGTACGAACAGAACATACAGATTCACGACAATTATAATATGTAAAACACATGAAAACTAAGTCTGCGTTTGACTGTTGTAGAGTCTTATTGTGTGATGCAGAAATAAATTCTGCAGTCTGGAGGTTCTTGCCATGGGAACCCTGAGTCCTCCAGTGTTCCTTAAGGACCTCCCCGTGCTCATCAGCCCCTCCACTAAGTCATGGAGGGGCTTATACCTTCTCCTGTCTTCTTCTCCCCCTCTCTTCTCTCCTTCTTGGAATGAGATGATGCTTTGTTGTACGGCTTTCTTTCTTCTCCGCTATGTCTCCAGCGCCTAATTTGTACTGATGGCAATCTTAACCAGCTCAAACAAGACAACAAGCAACATATGTTCAACGCTTGCGAAAATCGAATGCTAAATTATGAGGTCAATGAATATGCGTTAGCATCTTGTAGCAGTAGTTTGATATAGGAGAAAACAATCTTTAATTACTGCGTAAACGCATTAAAATGATTGATTAGGAGCAGCTAATGATCCATACATTACCTGGGAAAGCTATCTCCGGTGTAATCTATAGCACAGAGTGAACCTACGCCACCCAACAGCATTTATTTAAGCTGATTTGATGATACAGAGACAATTTCAGTACGCCTAATGTTCTCGCTGTTAATGTGTTGGTCGCAGTGAGACAGATATTTGTAAAGCCACAAATATTTCCTCATTGGGAGACGTAAACTCGCTGGGGAAAATCAGACAGCGCTGTTGTCTGTTTGTTTGTTTTCGCTGTTTTTTTTTGTAACACGGAACAGGTTAGAATTACAAAAGGCATCGTCATTCGTCATCGTGCAATATGTTTAGACACATGTCTTTTAATTTTCATCTTTAATTCCTTCTTTTTGTCTAATACGCATTGGTCCATAGTCCAGAATCTGTACTTCCTAATCTACAGCCTATATCTGATGTGTTTATTTTTAAACAGGATAATCCAATGGATTAAAGAAGCGGTCTGGACAAGGAAGTCGAGCCCAGGGTTGAATTGTTTGAACCGGGACGGGGGTGGGGGGTACAAACTCAGCGATGTTTGGGATTGTGTTCTCGCCGCAAAAGCGCCACCTATATCGGCTACATATAGCGGCGAGAAGCAGAACTCCACTCATAAGCTCTGAAGAAGGTAACGTAAGCATGGTTAGAGCCTTTCCTGGTTGTGAAAAAGAAAATTCATATATCCTGTGATGGCATATGTTTAAACTCCATATAGACACATGTTTAAAACTCATGACATACATACATGTATGTTTAAACCTTCTGATAGACATATGTTAAAACTGCTGATGTGATAACATATGTTTCAAACTCCTTGTAGACGTATGTTTAAACCTAATGGTACACATGGTGGACAGATATATTTAAAACTGTAGAAATTGTAGAAATATCTTTGAAATCCCTGATACACAAATAAAGGGTATCTTAGGAACAGTCTGTACGCATTAGATACAGAAGTTGTCTTTATCTACCTTCACAGCTTTACCAGGTATGCGACATGGGGCCTGTAATTTTATGTACATGTCTTGTATCAGATGGAGTTGTCACTAGTGCACTTAATGTTACAAATTACGTATCTAGGAATAACTCACGTTGAAGGTTGTTGGTGATAAAAGAAGCAGAGATAGGATATTCACCGCAGAGTAATGCCAACCATCCTGCTTTTTATGATAGGTATTGGGGATGCAATAATCAGTGGTTATCATGAATGAATAAATGAACTCTATTGGTCGACAGTGTCGGTAGCGGGCGCTCGATAAATTTGTTGTGTAAGAGGTCATCGACCCCTTCACACTCCTGCGTTCTATGAAAGCCTAGTTTTCACCGGGCCAAGAAAAAGAACCCTTCCGCCGAAAGATGTCTCCTTCCCCGGAGGTAAATATGCGTGTTTGTCTTTTGCAAGAGTTTACTAGATTTTCACGGGATCGTATTTATCCCTTTTAGTCTATTTACGTATACAGTATAGGTTAGAAATATTAATTCATATATTGATAAATGATATTCATATTCAACGCTATCTGTGACGTTCTTCCAGACAGGAGATAAACGAACTTGCAAAAGAAACCGGACAGGAAACAGCAAAAACACCAAATTGCATCGTCAGACCTGTTGTGCAGTTGAACAGATTTTGGTACACATGAGAGCAAGTACGGCGGGTTGTGACGTCGGTGGCCAACACGCCACCTGGCGATAGTGATGTAAACCTGCGTCACCAAAATGGCCAATGACGTTAAATATCTAACGTCCTACATTAAACTGAAAAAAAAGGCATTTCATCGGGAGCAAATACGCCTAACTGTACTGTTCTATATCAACCTTTCGCTGAAATCCCATCCCAAACGTATCTCTATACACACGATTAACTGAGGCCGGTTGGAAAAGATCGACTGCCGGTGCAAAGGTCCAGGGCGAACAACCCGAGGTCGAACGCTCCAAGGCCGGCCCGTAAAGAGTCTCTAGTACTACTAGAGACTGGTCACCTGGCTAGTGTGAAACTTGTTTGTATGGTTTGTTGTTTTATTACCTTCGCCAAAAAGGTTGTGATTCCCGTTGTGTGTATTGATGGTATTCAGCACCAAGGACAGGCTGTCTATATACTGTATGCGTGTATGTGTAGTTGTCTGAGTATAGATGTGTGTTTTTGTCTGTATGTGTTTATGTGTGTATTGATGGTATTCAAGGACAGGTCTATTTCTCTATATGTGCGTGTATTTGTAGTTGTCTATGACTGTATGTATGTGTTTTGTGTGTCTGTACATGTGTTGATGGTGTTCAGCACCAAGGACAGGTATATTTGTCTATATGTGCGTGTTTTCGTAGTTGTCTATGTGTTTTTCTGTGTCTGTATGTGTTTTTGTGCGTCTGTATGTGTTTTTGTGTGTCTGTATGTGTTTTGTGTGTCTGAATGTGTGTGTGTGTGTTGGTGGTATTCAGCACCAAGGACAGGTGTAATTGTCTATATGTGGGTGTATGTGTAGTTGTCTATGTGCGTATGTATGTATGTATGTGTTTTTGTGTAAATGTCCCCATCACTGCCACTGGGTCACAAAGGAACAATTAAGAAATTCACAATAAATCACCACTAACCAATTTGAGGCAGCAGACATAAATTTTCTGATACAGATTCCTTCAGGTTTACACACAATGTACAGACCACAAAAAATTGCTGTACATCATTTCTACAAACACATGATATTACAACTGGACAAAATGCATCATTGACCAGCAGTCTTTGGCTGTTTGGTAGTTAAATATGATTGATACAATATGCCACAAATCCATTGAGAATATCGCTTTACAAGGTGTGCGCTTCTATTTCACACTTCACGAGAACTACAGAATCTGATAAAATGGTGTCCCAACATGGGAATCTCTATTCTTATTTGTACAGCATTATCCTGTCCATAATCTTATACCATAACACAGGGTAACATACTAATGATAGTGTTCACCCATCCTGTTTTAGTTGTCTAGTTTAGGATGTTCACATGCCACAAAAATCAATTAGCATTATGTTAACATCCAGCACCAACAGTTCCATGGCATGTAGATGTTCTAGGTTAAAGGGCACTTTTCTGGTTGAAATCTGAGGAAACAGATGGTGCCTCCTGAACTATAGGGGATTAACGGTGCTGCGTTTACTACTTTCACACTTCCAGCTGTGTTATTTGCTCTTCTCCTGGTCTTTCAACTTCTTGTTTGCTTCCTTCATTCCTTCCTGAATCTCTCTCATGAAGGTGCTTTTAAAGGACGATGCCTTCTGCACAGCTCCTTCAGATGACTTGCTTAATCTTGCTACTTCATCCTCCACTGTGTAAGGCAAGACAGCATTGGCAATGTCAGAAACTTGTAGAAAGACACATCAATGCAAAAATACATTATTAAAGCGATATTATGTAAGATTTTCACTATTTTAAACATCATTATTTGCATTTTAAACACATTTTCTTGCGTTATAAGCCTACCTGGTTTTGCATTTTAAACACATTTTCTTGCGTTATACGCCTACCTGGTTTCATAATGACATTTGGGGAGTAAAATGTTCTTCGGGGTGCCGGTCACGACGAAGTTCTTGGTGCTCTTCATACCCTGGTGATTTCTAGGGATTCTTGGTTCAGGCCGTCTGGGTGTAGAGTTCTGAGCTGGTGGATTCAGTAGGATTCTCGTTGTAGTCGGCGCTGTCTGGTGAGATCTTCGTTGCCTGTGTAGCAGAGCCTCTCGATCCCGAGGATCTCGAGGTCTCCCATGCTGTGTGTCTGGTTAAAGTGGGCTGAGACCGGGGTGTCCTTCTTTGTACATGTATTGATGGCAGACCGATGGCTATTCAGTCTGTTGGCCAGTGTCTGTTTGGTCTCACCCACGTACTGTACGCCATATTTTTTGCATTGGATCAAGTAGACGATGTTCTTGCTCTGGCAATTGATGTGAGTCCTGATGGCGTAGCACTTACCCGTGCGGTGGCTTTTGAAGTTGTTCGCCTTTTTGACATAGGCGCAGTTGGTGCACCCATTCTTTCCGCACGGGAAGGAGCCCGAAGGAACGAATTTTTCCAAGAGGTTTCTGTTCTCCTTCGGGATTCGGGCTCTTACCAGCATGTCCTTGATGTTCTTGTTGCGGCGGTATGCAACCAGAGGTGGGTCTTGAAAGATGTCCCTTGTTCTTGATGAGAGTTGGACCAGGTTCCAGTATTTCGTGATGACGGTGTGAAGAGGCGGGGGGTGTGGACTGTATGTTGTTACCAAGACTGTGCGATCTTGTGGTGCTGTGGGTGTCTTTTTCTGTAATGTGTCTTCCCGGGAGCGCTCCTGTGCACGAGTGATGGCGGCGTCCAGTAGGGTCTCTTCGTAACCCCTTTTCTAGAAGTGATGCCGGAACTCAGAGGCCTTTTCTCTGTATCTGCTTGTGCTTGAGCAGATGCGTCGTATGCGCAGGAACTGTCCATAGGGGATGCCTAGTTTGCAGTGTTTGGGATATGCGGAGTTGCAGAGTAGGTATTGGTGTCTGTCGGTTTGGTATAGTGATTTCTCCTTCCGAAATGTTGACCGTGACATCCAGGAAGTTGATGGTGGTCTTGGAGGTTTCCACTGTGAACTTGAAGGTCCTGTGGGCTTGGTTGAGGTCCTGAATGAAGGACTTTAGTTCCTCCTCTGACCTGGTTCAGACTGCGAAGATGTCATCTATGACATTGAATTCGAAGTTGTTGAGGTTTAGTATCCTGTCCAGTAATTGGCAGATAGCTTCCGTGGGTACGTCTGCTGGATCGTTCTGCAGTGCTTCCCTGCATGCTTGTATCCCTTCGTCTGTGGGTATGTTGGTATACAGGGACGAGACATCCAGGGTTACAAGGATGGCATTCTGTGGTACCTTCCCGAGTTTGTTTAGTCTACGTAGGAAGTCCGTGGTGTCTTTGATGTAAGATGGTAGTCTTGTGACTAGTGGGCGGAGACGGAAATCGGCGAATTCTGAGATTCTTTTCGTGGCGCAGTCGTTGGCCGAAAGTGTCGGTCTTCCGGGGTTGCCTTTCTTGTGGATTTTCGGAAGGAGGTAGAAGATTGGTTCTGTGGCAAACGGGTGGTGATAGATAGTTGTATGTGGTGTCATCTATGGTGCCGTCTTCTCTAAGGTGTAGTAAAGTGCGTCTCACCTTGGTGGCGTGTTCTTCCGAGACGCAGTGGTCCACTTTTCTGTAGTGATCCTTGTTGTTAAGCTGTCTGAGGGCTTCTTGTATGTAGTCCTCGCGTTTCATTATCACTACGGCCGAATCTTTGTCTGCGGGTTTGATGATGACGTTGGTCATCTTTTTCAGTTCCGCTAGAGCTTTCCGTTCAAGATCTGAGATGTTCTTCTTGAGTGGTTCTGCTGTGATTTTCTGGTGTTCCAGGATTTCTTTCTCCACTGCCATGATGAACGTCTCCAGTGCCGGGTCTCTGTCGGTAGGGGGGTTCCATTTGCTTTTCTCTTTGAATCTGGTGGGCTCTGTTCTTTTGTGGTCGGCAAAGAATTCTCTGAGGCGGAGGCGTCTGAAGAAGGCATGTAGGTCTTGAATCAGTTCTTGGCGGTTGTAGTCTGAAGGAGTAGGGCAACGTGGAAACGTTCAAGACCAACAAGCAGGCAGCGCTGATGAAAAAGAAGTCGAAGAAGCTTCAGCGCGACAAGTAGCTCGCCACACCCCAAGACTCAACGAAGAACGCGGGTCCAAAAAACGAAGACAACCCCCCACGAAGAGGGGGGACCCGCGGGAAGAGCAACCACCAGCTGAGGCAGGCCCCGGCACAGAACAAGAAGACGCCAGCGCCCAGGGACCGTCAACAGCGGGGACGGCCACAGGGCCGCGGGAAGCCCTCCCAGCCCAAGACTTGGCGAGACTACTCCATTGCCAAACTCGCCGTCGCCATAGAAGGTTTACTCGCAGGAGGACGATCCAGGCGAAACACAGGCGCCGGGGGGAAAGGCGCCGGAGGAAGAGACAACTCGCGCTTCAAGAAACCGCGAGAGAAACAGTGGTAAATCTCTCCGATTTACCACTCACCGACGCCCAGGTTTCCGTTCTTTCCAAAGGACTAAACTTCTGCCCTACTCCTTCTGACTACAACCGCCAAGAACTGATTCAAGACCTACATGCCTTCTTCAGACGCCTCCGCCTCAGAGAATTCTTTGCCGACCACAAAAGAACAGAGCCCACCAGATTCAAAGAGAAAAGCAAATGGAATCCCCCTACCGACAGAGACCCGGCACTGGAGACGTTCATAATGGCAGTGGAGAAAGAAATCCTGGAACACCAAAAAACCAAAGCAGAACCAATCAAGAAGAACATCTCAGAGCTTGAACGGAAAGCTCTAGCGGAACTGAAAAAGATGACCAACGTCATCATCAAACCCGCAAAGGTTCGGCCGTAGTGATAATGAAACGCGAGGACTACATACAAGAAGCCCTCAGACAGCTTAACAACAAGGATCACTACAGAAAAGTGGACCACTGCGTCTCGGAAGAACACGCCACCAAGGTGAGACGCACTTTACTACACCTTAGAGAAGACGGCATCATAGATGACACCACATACAACTATCTATCACCACCCGTTTGCCACAGAACCAATCTTCTACCTCCTTCCGAAAAACCACAAGAAAGGCAACCCCGGAAGACCGACACTTTCGGCCAACGACTGCGCCACGAAAAGAATCTCAGAATTCGCCGATTTCCGTCTCCGCCCACTAGTCACAAGACTACCATCTTACATCAAAGACACCACGGACTTCCTACGTAGACTAAACAAACTCGGGAAGGTACCACAGAATGCCATCCTTGTAACCCTGGATGTCTCGTCCCTGTATACCAACATACCCACAGACGAAGGGATACAAGCATGCAGGGAAGCACTGCAGAACGATCCAGCAGACGTACCCACGGAAGCTATCTGCCAATTACTGGACAGGATACTAAACCTCAACAACTTCGAATTCAATGTCATAGATGACATCTTCGCAGTCTGAACCAGGTCAGAGGAGGAACTAAAGTCCTTCATTCAGGACCTCAACCAAGCCCACAGGACCTTCAAGTTCACAGTGGAAACCTCCAAGACCACCATCAACTTCCTGGATGTCACGGTCAACATTTCGGAAGGAGAAATCACTATACCAAACCGACAGACACCAATACCTACTCCGCAACTCTGCATATCCCAAACACTGCAAACTAGGCATCCCCTATGGACAGTTCCTGCGCATACGACGCATCTGCTCAAGCACAAGCAGATACAGAGAAAAGGCCTCTGAGTTCCGGCATCACTTCTAGAAAAAAAGGGGTTACGAAGAGACCCTACTGGACGCCGCCATCACTCGTGCACAGGAGCGCTCCCGGGAAGACACATTACAGAAAAAGACACCCACAGCACCACAAGATCGCACAGTGTAACTGTCTTGGTAACAACATACAGTCCACACCTCCCGCCTCTTCACACCATCATCAAGAAATACTGGAACCTGGTCCAACTCTCATCAAGAACAAGGGACATCTTCCAAGACCCACCTCTGGTTGCATACCGCCGCAACAAGAACATCAAGGACATGCTGGTAAGAGCCCGAATCCCTAAGGAGAACAGAAACTTCTTGGAAAAATTCGTTCCTTCGGGCTCCTTCCCATGCGGAAAGAATGGGTGCACCAACTGCGCCTATGTCAAAAAGGCGAACAACTTCAAAAGCCACCGCACGGGTAAGTGCTACGCCATCAGGACTCACATCAATTGCCAGAGCAAGAACATCGTCTACTTGATCCAATGCAAAAAATGTGGCGTACAGTACGTGGGTGAGACCAAACAGACACTGGCCAACAGACTGAATGGCCATCGGTCTGCCATCAATACATGTACAAAGAAGGACACCCCGGTCTCAGCCCACTTTAACCAGACACACAGCATGGGAGACCTCGAGATCCTCGGGATCGAGAGGCTCTGCTACACAGGCAACAAAGATCTCACAAGACAGCGCCGACTACAACGAGAATCCTTCTGGATCCACCAGCTCAGAACTCTACACCCAGACGGCCTGAACCAAGAATCCCTAGAAATCACAAGGGTATGAAGAGCACCAAGAACTTCGTCGTGACCGGCACCCCGAAGAACATTCAATCTCCACATCAGCTGGTCACTAGTATCCTACCATGTCACATGGAACGGATCTGAGGTACTACCGACTCACGCCTGGGGAACACTCTACAAGGGACGACTGGACTCCGCACCGTCACCACACGAACAGCTAAGATCTTCACATAGATCTGATTTATTTAGATTGTCTCACATAGCCTCTGTACAAATGCTCATTTAGCCCCACCGCACTCCTCATGATTGTTTTCTATCTTTTGAATTTCCCGCCTAATGATGATGTCATAGAATGAAGCGCCACCTACATGTTAGAACAAGTATTGCAGGCGCAAGGGCATCTAGCACCTGATTGGCCCATAAGGACAATCACCATCGGAGCGGGCCAGGATTGGTCAGGAGAACAATGGAAAACGCTCAGAGCGCCCTGACCTATCTGAACAGCTTAACCGCTGAGTCATCACCATTCTAGCCGCTGATTGGCTAACTCTAGTCAGTGCAAAACGAGATACTGTAAGCTGATTGGTTAGCTATTATGCTATTATGAATTTCCGGGTAGCCCTATGTTGAGTTGTTTCTTCAAAGAACTTGGTGTGGTTGGGAGGAGAGATAATGATGGTGATACTTACTCCTAATCTTCCCTCTCGTGAAGGCATAAGCTGTGAGCTGTGCTAGTCTCCTGATGACGTAGGTTTCTGATAACTGTACAAGTGAATACAACACAGTTAAGAACATGCAGTAGATTGGACTTAGTTTTCATACAACTGCACATGTGCTTGCTCTGACAATTACTACTAGAGGAATCTGACATCCGAAAGAGCCAAATCAACTTTTAATTTTAACATGTAACATGCAAGTGTGCATACTTACAAATTTAGTGCAACATATAATGTGTTTTAGATGCACAACTTGTAACATTTGAAATGTCACATTGTATAAGGAAATACTTGGTTATACCTTACTCTCAGTCTATACTATATATGTAACATTATAACTTACTCTTTCAACAACCTGCGGGTGGTTCGCCAAAAACCTATAAACAAGAGAGGAACATTTTGCATTATAAAGGTTTCAACTTTACGAACATTACGAAAAGACTTCAACTTTATTGCCCTGCCCCTATGGCTAGAGCTACATATAACGTTATCACTAATGTAGTGCTTAGCAGTGGAGCTCGAGGCCAAAATGGGAACAATTGTAGTCCGTAGTAAATACATGAAAACCCTTATAATTTATATTTTTTTTATCTTGATATTTACTGTAACTATAGAACTGTATACCGTAGAACGGGAGCGAGTGAGCAAGTGAGCGAGCGAGTGAGAGTGAGTGAGTGAGTGAGTGTGAGTGAGTGAGTGAGTGAGTGAGTGTGAGTGAGTGAGTGAGTGAGTGAGTGAGTGTGAGTGAGTGAGTGAGTGACTGAGTGAGTGAGTGTGATTGAACCCCGGCCGACCTCGTACCTCAAAACCTGAAATACCAGCTGAAACCATCGTCCCTTATTCTAAAACATGACACTTGATATCATATGAAGGCTGATTAATTATGCAGCAACAGCAGCAGCCCTGATATGACCCTGGGGACATGACCGACCTGGTCGTGGGGGGGGGGGGCAAGGCAGAGTTTTTCTGAAGATAGTCAAGTCATGCAAAGTTTCTTGCACAGCGATTGTAACAATCAGGTACAATGTATGCAGATATAAAGGTAGAAATAACAACTATGTTAAACTTTACCTGAGTAAGGCCCTGAGAGGCATTTCTATCACCGGTTCCGCGAGAAAGTTGGTCTGAAATGTTTACAGTTACGCAATGTCGTCTACAGCTTCCGGTTATGCTGCATTCTGGGTAAGGGATTGTACATTAATTCTTTAAAATCAAAGATTCATCCTTTGTTATAGACATTATTTCGGCAGATTTGCTTGTTTTACACAATCTTGATGAAATTAATAATTTGTTTTATATTTTGTATATGAAGCTTGGATATTTTGTTTTATCTAAATCACTGCGATCCTCACAGTATCTATAATGAAATTTCCCTATCTTTATTATGCAACTTTTAACCTTTGACTCCATGAACTCTACTGATGACCGGTCGGATGTTGCGTTTTGCCAGACATTTAGTCGAAAAACAGCTTACATGCGCAATGTCAAGATCACTAGCAGCTCCAGCTTGCCTTCCTGTCCAAGTTAACCATTTCTGTGTTGGCCCAGCCCCAGAAACGGGACACAAAGCATCCAAGGGAAAGTTTTTCGGAAGGGGGAGGGGCGCTATAGCTATGGCGAATCTGGAAAAGCTGAATTTTGACAACTTGGTTCTGCGTTCGCTGCCGATCGACACTTCTGATGAGAACGTACCACGGCAGGTACCGGGGGCCTGCTTCTCCAGGGTGAGAACAAACTGCTTATTATGTAATAAATAACGCTTCTAAAATTCTCTTGTATTTTGCGTTGTGTCCTACCATAAGCGTTCGTCATGCGTCATTGGGCGGAAAATATTTGGTCATGTGCTTCCAACATCTTTATTACGTTGTGTTGCATATCTAATATCCTCTGTATTTCTTTTATTTTTTTGGATTCATAATTTTGTTGATTTATCTTCTCATTATGTGCGTTACCACTTTGTGTTGTACTAACATGTGAGAACAATAAAAGAAACATTAAGAGACAAAGACAATACCTCTAAAAGATAGTCTGAAACATTCATTTCAATGAGATTAGCATTTATTTTCCCTTTTTTCACTTCTCAACTTTAACATGTCTTTACCCAACCTCATTCATCCAAGGGGTTTGAAAATTGAAAATGTTTGAAACAAACAGTAGAAACAGGAAAGCCCCTGACTCCCGGAACACTGGGAATCAATCCAGCGCCGAACCCAGGCAGCTAACTCGCGACACCAGCGTGCATGCTAACGGCTACTCCAAAAGGTCCAGACCCATTGGAATGGATCAGTTAGTGGCGCTTGACTGTTACATGTTCTTCTTTGCTTAGGTGAGCCCAACCCCGGTGAGTAACCCACAGACGGTTGCCTTCTCAGCCCAGGCTCTGCAGCTGCTAGACCTGCCTGTATCAGAGCTGAGGAGGCCAGAGTTTGCCCAGTATTTCTCTGGGAACAAACTGCTACCAGGGTCCGAAACAGCAGCACACTGCTACTGTGGGCATCAGTTTGGGCACTTCTCTGGGCAACTGGGAGATGGAGCAGCCATGTAAGTGAAGAGAGATCCTTCCTTCCTTCCTTCCTTCCTTTCACACTCAATCACAGTCATTCATGCACTCCTACATTCATTGCTTTGTTAATCTAGCCATCCCTCTACTCAGAGGTACTAAGTGAAGTAGTGAGCAAGCATCCAAGGGAAAATATCTAACTCAGTACTCCAGGCCTTTTGTGCTATCTATACTTTAGTCTTTTACATGCATGTTGTACTGTACCAAAGTACAGCAGTACAAAATTGATGATGTACAGCTGTATCTACTTGGGTGAAGTAGTGAATAATATGTGAGTTGGCATAATCAAAATAGAGGTATACATTGTATATTCCAGACCCAAAGTACTGATACACCAGTACCGATATAATGATGTACATGTACCACTGTGATATACATGTAGGTACCTGGGTGAAGTAGTGAACAAGTCAGGAGAGAGATGGGAGATCCAGCTGAAGGGTGCAGGGCTGACACCATACTCCAGAACAGCAGACGGCAGGAAGGTCCTACGCTCCAGTATCAGGGAGTTCCTCTGCAGTGAGGTAGGGTTGGTCATTCTGAAACAGGGTTGAACTGATTTCCAGCACAAGACTGGCGATGAAAACATCATGCTGTTTGGTTTATTGTTTGCATGGCACTGCCATGATTTCATGATTTTGAGGAAGCCTTGCTAGACAAATACAACTTGCACTCCTCCCTGAATGTATAGTGAACGAGCCCCGGGGGCACAGAAAAGTAGGGCCATCTTGGGCAGACAGGTTTTCCCAAGGGTTTCCAGGAATGTGTGTCAGCAAGAAATGGCAGGAGAAGGAGGAGATCTAGATAGAAGAAGAACACGACGAAAAACAAAAACGAATTCATACCTAACCTTTGCAAAGTGTGACGTGTAGTTATCAATAATCATACGTGTAGATTGTTAACAATGTACAATGTTTACTACTAACGTCATACTAGGTAGGCAGAACACACTGACATTGGTAAAGTGCCATGTAAATGTATAACACTACTTTAATATGTTTTCTCTCTTTCAGGCTATGCATCACTTAGGAATACCAACAACAAGAGGTCAGCCATTCAAGCATTTTCACAGAAAACTGTAACTTAGTGTAAGCTGAAAATACATTTTCAATTCAACATAAATATCTTTTACAAACGACAAATGAAAAGGCAATGTAGAGCTGATGACTGATTTGTTTTTATCCAGCCGGCTGCTGTGTAACCTCAGACAGTAAGGTTCTGAGAGATGTGTACTACAACGGGAATGCCTCCTATGAAAAGTGTACCACTGTGCTTAGGATTGCACAAACGTTCCTCAGGTAGGTAAAGTTAGCATAGTAGTGATGATATTGCAACTACCACCATTGAACAATGTCGACGTCTCAAAACAATAAGAAGAACTGACAGTATCAAGTTTTCTATATACTAGAAGCACTGGACCAAGCACAGGTTTACATTATTACTGTGCACTCACCTGAGGGTTCTGTGTGGGTTGATGGAAAAAGCGGTCCAGTCCTGACCTGTAAAGGTGTGTGTGTGTGTGGAAAAGGTACTGGACCAATCACAGGTTTACAGTGCAATCACTAGAGGGTTCTGTGTGGGTTTATGGAAAAAGCAGTCCAGTCCTGACTGGAAAGTTGTAGAATTGCAAGCAGTCTGGTACTGCACTGATGTGTGCCCATTATACCACAACATAAAGAATGCTTCTTGTGTTTATGCTTGCATTTATACTGAAAATTAGCCATGCTTTACACTGTATCGTTAGAGTTGAAATATGTCAAGGTTCCATGTTGCAGAGAGACAAATCATCAAGATATGACATATATGAAACACATCATTTTATAAACTATCTTTCTCTTTTTCAGATTTGGATCATTTGAAATCTTCAAGCCCACTGATGAAATAACAGGAAGGAAGGGACCCAGTGTTGGGAGAAATGATATCCTCATCACCATGTTAGACTATGCTATCAAGACATTCTTCCCAGAGGTAAGGAGAGAAATTCTCATAACCTGTTTATAACCAGAATTATTATGTAATTCATGATTCAATAGCAGTTTTGATTTTTTTAAGAAATACCAATTCAATGCTTCACAGGAATGATTTCTGGAAATTATTTTGTTGTTATTATTAATATTATTGGGTGGGCTGGCTACTCTCTACTTGTAGAAAGGGCTGAAATGTGAGGAGCTTACAGTTGTTGGGTCTTAATCGCAAGGGTCTGGAGCAGCTGCCATTTGGCGCTAACCCAGGTGAGGTCAACACTACCCCAGGTGTGGTTATAGGACTGTAAGGTTTGAACCACTCACACTGGGAAGGTCCCCTACTCTTTTCGATATTGTCCTACCTGCTGAAGCTAGGTACTCATTTTTACCTGAGTGAAGTGTAGAAAGTCATATAAAGTGCCTTTCCAAAGGGCACAAGATCGGTGACATGGCAGGATTCAAACCCAGGACCTTTGGGTTCTGAGTTGAACACTCTGCCACTACGCCATACAAACCCACTTTGCCAACTTTTCTTTTCATTATCAAACTCCCATTCAATGCTAGATTCAGGCGGCCCATGCTGACAACAGTGAGGAGAGATACCTGGCCTTCTATAGGGAGGTTGTCCACAGGACGGCACGGCTGGTGGCAGAATGGCAGTGTGTGGGCTTCTGTCACGGGTAAGATAAGCCTGTTGTAAACTGTACCTATGGGGAGGCTTGGGGAGATACAGGGTGGCTTGGCTAGGTAATAGTTTATAAGCAGATACAGTTTGTCGTTGATCCTGTCAAAAGTGCAAACATTTGTACTACTAAGTAATGACAGGGTTATCCTTGAAAGCACCATATGGGAATTTTGGGAACACTTTTACTGACAAGCACTATACTATAGTATGGGGGTTTTGTGGCCTACATGGGTTTTTTCAAAACACCTAAGACTAAGAAGCACTACATGGGGGCTTTGTAAATACTTGCATTACTGTATGGGGGTTTCAAGAACATTTTACTGAAAAAGACGTATGGAGTTTTGAGAATATTTTACTGAAAAGCATTGCATAGGTATAGGGGACTGTATTGGGGTATTGAAACACTTGATATTGAATAGCACTACATGGAAAAGGTTGATATAGAACATATTATTTTGGAACAAGGAGAGACCTGGACTGAAATATCATATTTGCTCCTGAGCAAATGTCTGCCTTTCTGGTCTGGATATTGCAATCTTTGACTATCTGTATCAACAGCAAAATATTGCTGTTAGGAGTTTGACGAAGAAAAACTTTTGCTTCAGAGTTCTGAACACAGACAACATGAGTATCCTGGGCCTGACCATCGACTACGGACCCTTTGGCTTCTTGGACAGATATGATGCTGACAACATCTGTAACGGCTCGGGTAAGTACAACTGATCATGAAGGGTTATCTTAGCAAGAATGGAATGACTATGATGGGGTGAAGTTAGACCATTGCCTCACGCCATGGACTATTGCCTCACATCCATCCATCCATCCATCCATTTACTGTTGCCCCCTCCCTCCCCTGTAGATGATGGTGCGAGGTACTCCTACAGAAGCCAGCCTGAGATCTGTAAGTGGAACTGTGAGAAGTTTGGAGAGGCCATCTCCGAGGCCCTGCCAACCGTCTTAACCAAACCCATCCTGGAGGAGTTTGACCAGACGTTCTCAGAACACTACCTCAGCAAGATGAGGAAGAAACTAGGACTGGTCAGGAAGGAACTACCAGAGGACAAGTCAGTAATTTCTTCTACTTTTGGTCAGAGAGAATTTTTTTGCCTTATGCATATATCTCTTACTTAACATTGCATTCCTTTATAATTGTTTTCTTTTTGTGCAGGGAGCTTTTTGAAGCACTTCTTCAGACCATGACAGAAACTGGTGAGTTCTGGCTTAAGTTATACTTCATGAAATGCATTATTCCTGGTTAAAACTAATTATAGTTCACGGAAAAATAATCTTTTGGGAGCTCACACAAGAAGCTTGATGAAAGTGAGTAAAAGATTTTTGTGATGTACACATGTAGGTGCTGACTTCACCAACACTCTGAGGGGCCTCAGTAAGCTGTCCCTGCCAGGATGTCAGGACTTTGACAGGTACAATGTAGTTCTGTGCAAGAAGGAATAACTACAAAGAAAACTGTTTTAATTGTACATTTTAATAAGCTCAAACTAAATACTTTCAACTGGATTGTGTGCACATTAAGGAAGGAGCAATTTCAACCATGGGAATGAGTGATAAACGGTGTGTGAATGAGAAAATGATCATAATGAATGAAAGAGTGTACCATCAGAAATTGTCCCTACATCACTCTCCCCCCATCATACAGTTCTCTGGAGAGGACCAGGTCTTTCCTGCTGTCTCAGTGCTGTTCTGTACAGGAACTCATCAAGGCCTGTAAACCCAGGATGGACCCAAGGTACTTTCTTGTTACCTAGCAACCCATGAATCCTGTTACCTAGCACCATGACTCCTGTTACCTAGCAACCATGAATCCTGTTACCTAGCAACCATGAGTCTTGTTACCTAGCAACCATGAATCCTGTTACCTAGCAACTATGAATCCTGTTACCTAGCAATCATGAATCCTGTTACCTAGCAACTGTGAATCCTGTTACCTAGCAACTGTGAACCCTGTTACTTAGCAACTGTGAACCCTGTTACTTTAATTGTGAACTCTGTACCTAGCAACCATGAATCCTGTTACTAAGCAACCGTGAAGTCTGTTAACAATGCAACTCTGGTTTCTTTCACTTAGCAATGTTTTAAACTGTATTCCCTGTTGCTAGGCAACTGCAGATGCTGATGCTGTTGCTAAGCACCAACCCATCCCTGCTGATGCAGCTGGGTGGACAGGGGAAGATCATGAGGGAGTTTGAGAGGATGGAGAAGTTAGAGGAAATAAAGGTAAGGAGGGAAAACAATATATTCCACAGAAATATATTAACAAGCATCAGATTAGATCAGATCAGAAGGATATCTACTTTTGGTCATTATTATGTTTTAATAAGTGTAATAATAAGTGTAAAATGACTTTCCCAAGGACACAACAGTGAGGACTGTCAGGGATTTGAACCCAGAACCTTCTGTGTCAACAACCCTAACCACAGGACCACCTTGTCAGCATCATTGTTATCATTAGGGCATGCAGTTTGCCGTACTTTACAGTGGTGACGAATACCTCAACTTAAGCTCAAGAAATCCACAACTACAAAACCCAGAATTCCATTTACTTGTTTCTCTGGCCAGTAACTAGCCCACAAACTTTGCTGTATTTACATAAACTAAGTTTGGCTTCAGTAGTTCAGACGTCTCCTGGTCTATCTTAACAGCTTTGATCAGCGTAACTCTAGCGTTTGTTTCCTGTGGTTGACAGGACCTGACTCAGGAGCAGAAGTCTGCTGCTGATGTACAGAAGTGGACAGAATGGCTGGAGAAATACACAGCCAGGCTGAAACTGGAGGCTCAGGAGGGGGAGGTAGAACAGGTAGGGAACAGTAGTAAAACTGTTCTGTATGATCCATGGTGTAGAACAGGTAGGGAACAGTAGTAAAACTGTTCTGTATGATCTGTGGTGTAGAACAGGTAGGGAACAGTAGTAGAACTGTTCTGTATGATCTGCTGATGTACAGAAGTGGACAGAATGGCTGGAGAAATACACAGTCAGGCTGAAACTGGAGGCACAGGAGGGGGGATGTAGAACAGGTAGGGTACAGTTACTGTAGTAGAACTGTTCTGTATGATCTGCTGATGTACAGAAGTGGACAGAATGGCTGGAGAAATACACAGCCAGGCTGAAACAGGAGGCACAGGAGGGGGAGGTAGAACAGGTAGGGTACAGTAGTAAAACTGTTCTGTATGATCCATGGTGTAGAACAGGTAGGGTACAGTAGTAGAACTGTTCTGTATGATCTGCTGATGTACAGAAGTGGACAGAATGGCTGGAGAAATACACAACCAGGCTGAAACAGGAGGCACAGGAAGGGGAGGTAGAACAGGTAGGGTACAGTAGTAAAACTGTTCTGTATGATCCATGGTGTAGAACAGGTAGGGTACAGTAGTAGAACTGTTCTGTATGATCTATGGTGTAGAACAGGTAGGGTACAGTAGTAAAACTGTTCTGTATGATCCATGGTGTAGAACAGGTAGGGTACAGTAGTAGAACTGTTCTGTATGATCTGCTGATGTACAGAAGTGGACAGAATGGCTGGAGAAATACACAGCCAGGCTGAAACTGGAGGCTCAGGAAGGGGAGGTAGAACAGGTAGGGTACAGTAGTAAAACTGTTCTGTATGATCCATGGTGTAGAACAGGTAGGGTACAGTAGTAGAACTGTTCTGTATGATCTGCTGATGTACAGAAGTGGACAGAATGGCTGGAGAAATACACAACCAGGCTGAAACAGGAGGCTCAGGAAGGGGAGGTAGAACAGGTAGGGTACAGTAGTAGAACTGACATGGAATACTAAGTACATTGTAGGTAGGGTACCAACCATGTAACACTTACAGATAGAAGGGAAAATAAAAGTCCTTTGCTGTAGAAAAGCTGCCCACAAAGAAATAAAGACACTAAGTGCTCATTCCTTGACAAAGAGTTGTACAGTCAAAAATTTGGGTAAAACGTCCAATCCCTTGTGTTGGAAATTACAGTTTAAACTGCTTCATAGTGACTGTGGTGCCTTTCTTCATCTTTATCTTCATAATGATAATAAAAAAAAACTTGCTCAACAATCGTACAAGTACGGTATGGTACCTATTGCTACATAACAAACATACTGTGAGACATATTTAACTTGCAAATACTATCAGTATGTAGCATGGGATGATAACCCCAACCATAGACAACACACCTAACCTTTGACCCTGTGTTTCTCTGTATGTCCTCACAGCTGAACAAGGAAAGAGTCATAACCATGAACTCCAATAACCCCAAGTTCATCCTCAGGAACTACATTGCTCAGAATGCCATCACTGCTGCCGAGGATGGTGACTTCTCTGAGGTACATGCTTCAGCATGTTATTCTATTTCACTCCATACCATAGATACGGATGAAATATATTCAAAATTTCCCCTCCTTCTCCTATTTCGTGAAACGGGTTCAATTTCTTAATTTCTTGGCCAAATGACCCAAAAGTTCACATGACTTCCAGGCATTTGGTTTTTTCCTTTTTTTTGTACAGGCTTTTAAATTTGTTTTATTTGCGGTTTTGGGCCATTTTCAGGCAAAAGTACGTTTTGGATTTTGGACCTGGTTAGGGAGGTAAAAGGCAGTGGAAGGAGATGAATAGGCATTGTCTTCCAGTACCGTGCCCTAGACCCAGTTTACGATTTATTAACAATCCACTCCCCCTACAGCCTGAGAAAGGCTATGGGTCTACATTTAAGTTTATCTGTTTTATCTTGAGTTTAGATTAAGAGTAAGTGTTGATGTGTTAGAGGGAAAGGACTGTAACAGATGCAGTACCGTTATCCAGGTACAGAGGGTGCTGCGACTCCTGGAGCAGCCCTTCAGTGAGGACGTTGACCTCGGGGAGCTGGCCGTTGCCCCTGGCGACGGAGGCAGTGCCAGTTCAACCACCGACGACGATGCAGGCAGGTTTAATTAATTACCACCAATCTTTTAAGTGGTAGATTCTGCTGTTTTAGCATCAAAGAAAATAACTCTCACTCACACTCACTATCTGGGTTATTGTCTGTTGTTCCCCATCATCCTAGGGTTAGACATGCTTGCACACTAGTGCTGAGGCTTGATGGTAGCCCATTTGCCTCTGTCCTATGGGTTGATGTTCTACAGGTTAAGGTGGAGGAAGTCTTCCCTAATGTTGTCCATCCACCTCTTCCTTTATTTGGCCTTCCGCATCCATTGTGATGATCTTTCTGGGCCACTTCTCACTGTCTCATCTTTGGGTGGCCATATCTTAATTGACTAAATCTTACCATGTGCTGGATGCTATGGACTCCAGCCTGAGTCTTAAATGTCCAGTTGACTGAGGAAAAATCATATCTCAAAATCATGTGGCTCAAAAATTAGAATGTACTTTTCAATGGAAAGTCATTCATGGCCATGGCAGTTTCTTGTGTAGCTGTTTTTCCTTATTCAATGTAGGTAAGATTGAATGGCATGTGGGTGGGTTTGCACATCTACTTTTGATATTTGAGCTACAATATCATCAAGCTGCTTCTACTGTATTTTTCAGTTGGACATTTTACAATGACAACCTTCTCTTTCAGTTGGACAATTGTCAATAAACATTTGTGTTGCCACAGGTGCTTCAGCATCAGTCCTGTCTGAGACAGCAGCTGGCCAAGGGACAGCAAAAAGCTGCACAGGGACAGCATATGACAGCAGGCCTCCTGATTGGGCAGTTGATCTGTGTGTCACATGATCATCGTAAAGGCCTCATTCTTGACATACCCTCAAGGTCAAGGGTCAATCTGTAAATCCTTGCACATTGCAGTGTTTAGTGCACATTTTGCTGGTCATAAGACTGATAAATTATCAATAATTAAAAAGAATCTATTCATAGACCAGCAATGACCCTTGACCTGTATGAGGTCAGAGTGAGGCCCTGTTTAAGGGTGGGTCAAAAGGTCAGTGTGTGGCAGCAAGGGAGTGGCAGATGTATACAGATTTTGACATTTTCTCTGTGATTTTAAGTTTTCACTGTGACTTAGTGTCTTCCATTGCGTACTACTATATAATTGTTTCAACTGTGAACTCAAACATTACAACAAACTCGATTTTCACTGTGCCACAAAACATGAGTGCTGCAAAGTAAAATTAATGTAACAAACAGGAGCAAGTAGAAACAGGAAAACAGTTATTAAGCCAAGGGCATAGGCAAAGGCAAGGAAGGAGAATGGAGTTTGTGTTATTTGATGCTTTCTAAGATGGACAACTAAATGAGACTCATGTGTAAGTTAAACAACATGAAATTCTCAGCATGACGAGAACTGATACAGACGTAAGTCATACAGATTGAGGTATTTTATAATTGTGTTACAATGTAGTTGTAGCCAGTCACTCTCATTCCCAAACTGCTGCACACAGTATGAAGGCTCGGTTTTAAACCAGTTATGGTCGACTGAGCTGGAAAGACTTGACTCCCACCCACAATGCATCTGAAACTAAAGCCTTGTCAATATATGTGAGTGTGGTGGTTTTTTAGCAACTGCTACTGGTGATATGCAAATTAACATGTAATTATGTAAGACAGACTTGCCCAATAAGAATTACATTAATTGGATGCAAAGTCTTAGTGAGTGAGTTTTGTTGTTGTAAATTTATTTCTGTACATTCAGTTGTTAACTTCAAGCAAGAAGGTTATGTTTTTGTGACCGCGCGCATGTGTGTGTGCCAGTCTGTGCATGTCTGTTTGTGCATGTCTGTGTGTGTGCGTGTGTGTGTGCGTGCGTGTGTGTGTGTGTGGGTGCGCGCGCGCGTGTGTGGACCTCAGGACGCTGCCTATCCGGCTGCTGACAAACATGTTCTTCATCATGATTTTCCTGATTGACGTGCACACATCGGCTTTGTCACCTCTGGCATACGCAGTAGCATTCAGGTGAGTAATTTACATGCATCTGGCATTTTTTCCATGAAGATGAAGCCGAATAGATTAGCGACTGGTTTCAATCCGGCTTCTGTCTTGTCAAGCCATTAATAAGTATGATAATGAGGTATGATAATGATGTAAAATTTCCACCATTTCTAAAATTGTGTCATTTTTTTTAATGCTCCAACATATATAGGTGTGTTCATGCAGAGCACTTCACACTAGGGTTGCAGATGGTATTCGTCAGACTGATAGGTATGTATATTGACTTCGAAAAATCTGATTTTCAAGCCCTAAAAACTGCATTGAGCACCTTGTCTAGTATACCCCTGTGATGTTATATGTAAGAAGTTACAATAGACATGAGGACAAGTTTGTTTTGTGCACTTCAGTCTCTACCACACTCACTGGGTTGTGCAAAAATACGAGAAACATTAAGTAAGCTAAAAAAAAAAGCTAAATGATTTGCCTGAGGTCTGTTAGTAGCACTAACTGATTGTGAATGTTACCCCATACACTCCACAGAATACATCAACAGTCATGAGATCAGACCAGACGGACGTTTTACCCCGCTCTAGAGAAAACTGGCACGTGTCGAACTTCGTACTGACCCGGTACCCCCTCTCCTGTAAGTACTGTGTTACCCACGCCACTCTTACATGTAGGTCATCAGGACAAAGCGGCTCAATGTAGTTCATATTGTCACCTTGTAGACACTCGTGTGTCTGCCAAGATGCGTTCTCGAGAAATCTTGAGGGAACGATGTTTGGTACTACGTCATTGATTTTACTCCTAGCTTTCCAACCTGCGTCCATCAACAGTGCTACTCTCGTAGTACCGGTGATGACTGGAGATACAGCTTTGAGCACTCTCTCTGCTAACATCTCGGTGTCTTGATTCTTGAAGAGTTGCTCCTTGTACGCTATCTCCTCGCGGACATCTCTGAACTGAGCAAGCTTGTCTGCCAGAACCTGAAGACCGAAGTACTGTGCTTCCGTGTACACCTCCCTGGCGAGGTTAGGTGGTGGTAGCTTGCCGTGTCGCAGAAACTCCAGAATGTGTGCGAATGCACCTCCATCCCTGCAAAAATATGTATGCAATATATTTGATATTATCAACAGTTTCTTTGCTATAATTGCTATTCATAGAGAATAAATAAGATTAATGTTAGCTATTGCCTTTAAATCCTTTATGGGCACATCTTCAGACATACATTTTTAGTTATCCCATAGAATTTTCTATATCATTTTTAGTACACATGTATTATATTACCATCTTACTCATACCTTTCGTTACAACGAATGCCAGTGCGTTCTGTGTTTCGACCAAGGTTTTACAAGTTAACAGAAAAGTGAATACTAATACGCGCGTTGTGTTTCATTTACAAATCGTGTATATGTCATGTACGTCATACTAGAATGCCACTGGAATAGAATTGCAACTGGATAGATTTGAAAGTTGTCCTCTACATCTCACTAGTAAATGAAGTAGTGGTTGCTACTTGAAACGTCTGACAGTTTTCAAAACCTATCCAGTTGCTTGAGTAACGGTTTCCTTGTGTATCTCATTACCTGGATGTCTAACCTTCATTGAGGTACTGGTAAACTAATGTACAAATGAAATGTACTATTTCCAACCTATCGATGAAGTAACAGCCATCTTTATCCTTCTCCACCTGGTGACGACCACTGAACATGGCGGCTAACATGGAGTCTTCGTGCCTCAGTAATGTAGACAGGAACGTGGAGAAACGGCGACCTCCAACGTTAAGTGGGACCACCTTTGGGAACTGGCAGGGAACAGTCAAATGTTACGTGAGAAGAGGTGTAAGAAAGGCAAGTTTGTTGTTGTCTATGGTGCATGTGGGCACAAAAAGAATACCATAGCATCATGCATTAAAAAAAACAGTAATATTACATACCACTTTCTATGCTTAGAAGTCAGCATTTGGGAAAGAGCAGATGAGTCCCACACGTAATTAACTCCGCCTCTGTGGCGTCGGCAAAAAATGCCTTCTCAGAAATTGGTGTTACTAATGCTTAGGTCACATTTCCAAACCGGGGCCCGGTCGGGTAGTCATTTGGAACGAAAAATATGGTATAAAACGCAACAAAGCACAGAGAGGTTGAAAAATATCAACAATGGAACTACATTGTATTTACGTATATTCTTTATGAAAATTGTTGATTTTTCGTTAATCGAAACAGCCCGGCCGGGCCCCGGCTTGGAAATGTGACCCCAGCATTACAGGTGCTATATGCCCGGAGGGCCTTGGGAAGTCAGTAGACTTAAAACTGACATTTGTGACGTGTGTGCCGAGAATAGTTAAGAACGTACCTGGTTTTCCATAATGACCCGTATGCTCGACTGCCCTGTGGTATCTGCGCACTTCCAATAGAACTCAAAAATGAGACCACATCTTCACTGAAGATTCATCTGCAAAAACAAAACATTTGTCATGCCAGGGGCTAAATTACACTGACACACACGCACAGAAAGACAATGTTGTTGTAATGAACGTTATTGTAACGTCGGTAAATACAGTCATCATGTTGCATAAATAAGCTGTTTTGTGTATAACTAGAATTACGGTGTCATTATGTGGGAAAATGGAAATTGCTCGTGCTCATCACCGATCAATGGGATTATGGAGAGTTACCATTGTTGCAACGATACCGTACCTCAATGAGCAGCAAGTACAATTAAATTTAAACTGTTTCTGATTTTGCCCTGGCTCGGAAGCTAAAATAGGTTTCGTATCCATGCTAGAAATTAGTAGAATAATTTATAATTTGGCCGTCCGAAAGCAGTCCAACCTGCTAGTGTCTACCGTACTGTCCGGTGTGTGAGTTACCGGTAACTGTACTTATTCACGAGCCTGGGACTATACCGCCCGCCCAGGTCGATTAGCGTAAGCCGTGACTGAATATTCACGATCGGCGTTGGTATAGAATAGTCAGAAAGGCCGACTGGAAAATTTTAAAATAGACTGTCAGAATAAGGCCCATGCTTTAGTAGTTTTGGAGCCGGTAAAACGTCCCCAAACCAGCCTGCAGAGAATTCCTACTGGTTTATAAAGCTATATTGGTCATATCGTGGTATAGGATGGAAAGGCATGATTGCGTCATGTAAACAAAAGGGGTCATGTAAATACACGGGGCCATGTCACACTAGGGGTCATGTCAACACTGGAAACAGTATCGGGATGGTTCAGTGCTGATACGGTACGGTTCAAATTACCGTACGGTTCAAATTACCGCCATTTTCTCCATATATCACTGCAGATGAGGCCATTCACCGATCCTAGTAACATATAGCCCCAGGGAATAGTCGAAGTAATTGTGACATCTTGTCCCTTACATACTGTACTACTAGTAAACGAATTAATATCTTTACTTTAGAACTCAATGTTTTGGTTAATACAAGAATCCAACGGGTATAGAATTTTCTTCTTACACAACCAGTAAGGTTCCTTACTGGTTGTGTAAGAAGAAAATTCTATACCCTAAGTATCTTCCAACCTGATGAAATTATTTACGGAAGAATCCAACGTCTGCAAAATTGTGTCAGTGGAAAAAAAAACACACACACCTCGCCCCATTTGTTTTTCTTGTAGGAATAGCATGTGTTATGATTTGCTGAGCGCAGTGACCCTACCCAGGTCTTGTTCAATACAAACGAAACAGGATCATATATGTTTCCTTATTCCTTGTCACACAAGAAACCAAGAACTATGATACCATAAAATCAAACCTGCACTCCGTAACAGCTACATGTACATGTACATACCCCAGCAGCAGTTGCCGCGCGTGGCGTAGTCTCAGGCCCGGTCTTGTTATCTGGTGGCCCGTTATATACTTACAGGGACTATTGTCATCAACGAGGTTAAAGGTTAACCTTCTTGCTATGATAAAAATGACACGATCGGGATAGTCTAGTAGCCGCCGTTTTGGTGGGCGTCTCGCAGCATGGTGCATGTAGCCTAGATCGCAGGGCTGTTTGCATATACATTTTTTTTTGCCACGGTGCCCCGGCCCATCATCATAAAAATAACGATATTATAGAGAATTCCGTCTACCCTGACAAAACGTAGCGGACTCGTCGCTTGTCGACACACCCATAGTACTTACTGATCGATTCTGATGAAAACATCACCTCTAGGCCTCAAAATGGGGCCCAGTCCGTTGGCGGGATCTTGTATTGTTGCATTGATGGGCTTGGGTACTAGAAATCTTATCAAAAGGCAAGCTTAAATGCTCAGGCTGTTTACAGAGGATCTTCTGTCAATCCTGCAACAAAAAGAGCCACGCCTCTACGTGACCCCAGCTGGATGGACTAATCCAAAGGATTGTCAAAATAGGGGGATCGGAATTTTGAAAGCAATAGTACCAGTCAGTCCATTTTTTAGTTAAAACGATTTGTACTAGTATGGGTAAATATTTACTAGTAGTAGTATCTATGTAAAAGACGAAAATTTCCCATTAATTTTGTAACTTATGATACAATCGACAATATATACATATATGCCTGGTTATATTGCTGGAAATATTAAAGGGATATTGTTAATAGATGTCGCTTTTGCGTAATAATTTTTGGTACGTTTGCCGATGAATGCGCCAGCTCAGAACAGTCGTAAATAGTTATCAGTAGATCATAGAATGTGACCATGTAAATGCAGTTTGGTAAATTGTCGCTATTAGCGTTTTTCCACCAAGCAACGAATTTTGGGCATTGTATATTCTCCGGATTCTCATGTACACAGGGAGGGGATCTTCACCCAAAACATTACAGTTCATTACTAGCACATTCAACTTGTGCCTCACAATCTGTGCCTACAAATTCTCAGAGGAATGTGGCAGAAAAAATCATGAAACTTTTTTTAAGGAAAACTATAATATTCATCTATTTACCAACCTAATGAAGCGTAGCGGACTTATTAAGTTTTCTGTTTTGGAAAGCGGGTATTCGATGGTACAGCTAAAAGAAACATTTTTGCAACAGCCCTTATACATTCTGCAAGCACGTGTATAAAATGTCTACATCTGTTTTTCTCCCAACACCATGTCCCCAGTGCCCTGACTTGGGTATGGCGTCATTGTGGTAAACTGAAGTTGACCCTGGCCCAAAGGAAGCGGGCTATAGTTTAAGGTTGTCCCAAAGAGGAACTAGCAACAACGACCTCTACACACAGTCAACGACCTGCCTTTGCCTTATAATTTCTGTTGTACATGAGCATGGAATCCAAGTGGTGAGTGCCGTATATCTTATCCACCTCATTCTTGAAAATTCGCTAGCGCTGCTCGATATGCTCTGCATGCACTTTTTCGTAAGGCGTAATCAGGCCTTTTTAGCCTCCGTAATCCGTGGGCAGCCCAAAAATCAACTTAATTCGTAATAACATATTAGCCGCAAAGCGTTAAGTCGTAATCAGCTCTGAGACTTAAACGTGATTCGTAATCGGCGGCGAAAATTTGTAAGCATAATCATATATAGAGGTTTTGGTCGGTGGGTATTTACTTCTCATTTTCTGGCCTTTCTCACGACTCTATATGTTCCCCTAGGCTTTTTCCAGCATATGTTATATTGAGATACCGCGCTTTTCCTTACTCGGCTGCGTCCCTTGAACAGTAAACTTTCGGGTCACGAAAGGTTCAAGGCTAGAATCTGGTTCATAGCCAGGCAAGAACCGCGGGTGCTATACTTCAATCGACATTGCGTTTCAAAAACATCTGCAATGTTGTGGCTTCACCCACGTGCATCTGCCACAAATATCACGTCAGGTAAATCGTCTCGTCAGTAACAAAGATTTGTTACTCCTTCAAAGTTTTTTTTTTCATTTTCATATACCATCCTAAAATATATAGATAATATATAGTTAATGGACAAGTTGATGTAGCACCGGCCTTTGATCAAAGATAAAGATATTCATAAATATTAAATGATAATTGAACAGCGTTGTTCCAACTTAGTATGTACTATAAACAAGTGACTATAGTATTGACTTTGAAATGGTCTGGTTTTCAAGCTCTAGAAACTGTATTGGGCACCTTAAATTGAATGGTTTAGCGCCTACTGCAAGTTCAATGAACAGCGTAAACGGGACACAGGCTGCATTGATCGTGATTTAATACAGCCCCCAACCGTTCTTGATCTCAAAGGAAGATTTCGAAGTACTGGACCATGCCTCTGTTTCGTTCCTAGTAAACGACATCCAGATGTTGCAAACTTCCGGCAGTAAATGATGCCAGTTACATAATAACAACGCGCTCTTAAAACACGCACCGTTACCGACTGTACAAACATCAGAGCCGCACGGTTTATACCCGGGCTAGTGAACCACATCAAGCGGCAGCCAAAACAAATAAAGACCATAACTAAGTTGAACCTGAGCCTTACGCCTAAAGGAACGTCAACTTGAACTTGACTCTAAAAACTCGAAGGTAAGGTAAATCTGATGACTTCAGACTGAGGACAATGATTCACCCTTTTACAATATTAAAGCTGGTGGTGCAATGCGGATTAGCTACGGTTTCCTGTTTAAGCACCGAGTCTTCTTGATACGTGTGTTGGGTTCTTTTAGATACAGAGGTTTGATGCCATAAGCTCCATAACACACGGGGCCGCTGTATCTAGGATTAAGTAACGTAATTGTATGTTAACATTCATTGAGGAAAAATGCTGTTGATTGTGACGAAACGGTTACTGGTAGGGTCCTGCACTGATTTTTAGGGTACCACCCAGAAAATAAAGGAAACTTTGAAACTTTAGGAATAATCTTGGGGCTTGTTTCTACACTGTTTTAAATGCCCGATGCATCAAATACCGATACAAATGTGCTAATGTAGGGCAGTCTGATACAGATTGCCCTACTCAGAATATTCCAATTTTGCTGCCCTGAAATTGCATTGGATGCCATGGGAAGGGGGTGGGGGGTAGGTGTGATAGAACCACCAAGTTAGTGACTTTTCTTTGAATATGTTTGGCAACAATTCCATATAAGTGAGTGCAGCTAGCTGTAACTAATGGAACATCCCTGGATTCAGTCATGCCGAGGAAGCAAATTAAAAGAGAGCTGTTCCCAAAACTTGACGTCATAAGCTAGTCTCCGGGTTAAGGTTACGTGACCGAGGCCAATTCAATTTCTGACTAAATTGGAACAGTTGGAGGGTCTTGGAGCAACAGTCAGCGAAAACGTCAAGGTCTGTCTATTTCGCTACGAATCAATGCCACAGAGAACACATGGGCATGGTTAGGTGCATGTGGACCGTGACGCCGTTATATGAGGCTGATGCGTGACACATAAAAGCCTTAGACTTAATGGTTTTAACTTCATATACCTAGCATACCTAAATGGTACGAATCATATCTCGTCAATTATGATGTATTAAATTCCTGAATATATAATCATTTCGTAACGACAACGAAAACATAATTTCTGATTTCCATTTGCCTGATTTGTTGTCATTTTCTCTAAAAACTGCAATTACCTCTGCTTTATATTATTATACATGTAGTTTCGTTTTTTACAGATCATACTTATAATACATCTGTCGTTTTGTCGTTTAAACAAATGGTCATTATTCACAAGACCAAGATATATTGAATTTTGACTTTAGCCGCAATGATGCTTCATGACTCTGCTGCCACAGTGACTTTGACATTTGAAACTGTTAAATGAAACAGAAGTAATAACCTTTCAATTACTTTGTGATTCACTGACAGATATCATAAGACAATGGCAAAGGAGACCAACGACCAATGACCAATGAATTGTTTAATAGCTGGAATTTTACGAAAATTTAAAGCTTGTGATGCTGCGATCATGTGCTGTAACCTAGGAATCACAAGCTTCGATCACGTTCTATGACGTCTCAATCACGTGCTATGTCGTAGTGATCACGTGGCGAGTCTCAGCACCACCCAGGCGCCCACACGTTGCCGTAGTTGGACGGGTCCGCGGCCGGGTCGTCAGCAAGATCCGGGAACGGGACTTCGTACGGGGTGAGCTCGTTCAGCCGGCGGCGCATGGCCCTCTGTACGGCGGCGTACTCAGCCACGCCGTACAGGTTCGACTTCTCCAAGGGATCCTCTGAGAGAGAAAGCAACAAATTGTGATTTTAATAAATATAACGCTTTCTGGTAGGGTAGGGTAGGGTAGGGTAGGGTAGGGTAGGGTAGGGTAGGGTAGGGTAGGGTAGGGTAGGGTAGGGTAGGGTAGGGTTAGGGTAGGGTAGGGTAGGGTAGGGTAGGGTAGGGTAGGGGAGGCTAGGGTAGGGTAGGGTAGGGTAGGGTAGGGTTCTTCGGCCAGGTAGGACCTTAGGTTCCAGTTTAGGTCGCTCGTCTCTTTCATATAGTTTGCTGCTTTCAGGGTGTAGTCGAATTTGCCAGCTACTCTTTGCCGCATGGGACGTAACATGGCACGTAACAAGTCTACATTTTATACCTCCCCTTCTCACAATGACAAAAACCCAGCATCATCCATTATACATTGCAACCCTTTATCCTTTTATGAGGCATTGTGTGATGCAGTGCAGTATTAATATAATCATAAATACGCTATAAAGTATGGTTGTGATTTCAATGAATATTAAAAGATAGGTCAGTCAAAGTATAATAGTAACGCACCTCTAATGTTGAAGAGAAAAGGTCCCGACTCATTGCCTATCTCGGTGAGGATGCCCATTTGCTGCATCTCGGCAGGAGCATACCAGTCATCTGGACGAATATTAATAGGTACATTATGATGACAGCGTACAACAAAGGTAGATATTCCTAATTACAATGGCAAAAAGGGACAATTCTAAGTAAATGTTACGCTTCAATTCATACCTTTTGGAGCTCGGTTGCCTGTTACGAGTTTGTAGTCTCCAACTCTTTTGAAAGAAGGGGAAATTATTTGTTACGACTTGCGACAAGATCGGAAAGCAAGACATCGAGTACGCTGCCACTGTTGAAGTACAGTGCATTCTTAGCATTGCCTTTTTCTCCCACGTTTCTTTTATGTGAAAATACCCAAAATTCCCTTCTGTGTTTATTGAAGCCCTCCGACGCTTCCCCCGTTAGTACCACATACCTGATAGCAAAGCGGTGTTCCCCACTATCAATGTCGTAAACAAACTCAGTTCTTGGCGAGTCAGAACCGGTAGAAATACTCCGCCACATGTTCTTTCCATCCAGCCCTGGGTCTGCAAAAAAACAAGTTAGATTGGTAAAACATATCTGTTGATGTTCTTAGGTTTGTAATTCTGACCTAGCCTCCTTTGCAGGCGAGACGGTCATATATATGTGCGTGCGATCAGGAAAGTTGGACAATCAGAAAATAGTGCAAATAAAAAAAAGAATGCAAATCAGTGCCACCCTTCCCACAACGAAAAGCTGCACGTACTAACATTTCTTCACGTATACATTTGAACTTACCCTCAGTTCCACCTGCCACAGACACGAGAGTAGGGAGGATGTCCACAAAGTGCATCATACTGAAACAAAACATCAAAATCGTCCTCATTTGGCCATAGTGACGGAACAGACAAACACGCATGCGCCGCAAACGCGTTGCCATGGTAATGTGTTGTTTGTCCCTTGCGCACAAGAGTTCCGTTAAAAGATCAAGGTTTATTGTGCAATAATTGCTTTGGATACAATGTATGGCAAATAATCCTTAATAACTATAAACTATTTCTACTAGCGTACTGATTAGCCTCCTTCAAAACTATTACACGGTTTCCTTTATATAGCATGATGTATATAACGTTACTGACCTATATAAACAGATACAGAGTGGGGGCATGACAGCAGCATGTTAAAAATTTTTAAAAATGAAAGGTTACCCGTGATAGGTGTATCCAGTTCTGTCCAGCATGTTGCCGTGTATGAAGGCGGGCACACGGGTCGCTCCCTCCCAGAACGTGCCTTTAGCTCCCCGCAGAGGCCAGTTACTTTGCCCATCAGAGTATTCTCCACCATTCTGGAAAAAGAGAAATCATTTTTGAGTGCCTAAATGTCATCGACGTATTTTAAAATGTTCATTTTTGTTTAGTTTTGGTTTTGTTTTGTATACTAAATGCTTATCTTTTGAGATTTTTTCAAAGTTGAAAAATGAAAATTTCTGTTACTTACGTCCGACATAAAAATGGTGAGGGTGTTGTCCCACAATCCTTTGCCCTTCAGTGTGTCCGTGACCCGCTTGATGGCGTCGTCTAAGGCTGTCGCCATACCTAGAGTATCATGGGAAGGTTTATATCTTAATATTAGTAATCGGTAATATCGAGAACAGCGTGACTACGTTTGGAGAAAGCTAAGACAACTAATCAGACGGGGGAATTACCTTTTAAAACCTTCATATATATCATAGGTAAAAAGGTAAGACAGGTAAAAGGCTCAAAGCCATAGAGGTGGGGAGGGGGGCATGTGGTGTACATAATATTGTAGAAGAGCGGATGCGATATCATTCTTGTACAAGAGTTTAACATAACTGTGGTTTACCTAAAATCGACTTCCTGTCGTCGTCCTGGACAGTCGAGAAGGTCTGTAGGTAGCTGGAAGGAACCTGTGTTGGGAAAACACGGCGTACGTTATATTGCCCAGCGCACGGTTTCTCACTTCTGAACACACTTTCTTGATCGCGCGCTTTCTCAATTGTGAACATACTTAGTCATTCAAACAGGTGGCCCAAACGGCTGCCACGTCACGTAGCATTTTAGCCAATGAAAATCAAGTTTCTTAGATTGAGACCAATCTAATTATCTGTTCTACAGCGTTCATACATGACACAGTACTGGCCCCATTCCGAATCGACTGAGCCGAATTGATTCGCTTTGATCCGGCTTCGAGCCGGATCGAAGCCGGATCAAAGCGAATCGATTCGGCTCGATTTGGACAATTGTATCCTAGTGGGCATGGGGACAGTATTTTCGTATCACAAAGCGGTTCTGTACAGTTGTACAAACCTGGTGAGGCGTATGAACGGATTGGAAGGGTAGGTACAAGAAGAGCGGGGTGTTCGGGTCGTGCTGGTTTATGATGTCTTCTGCACGTGAAGCGAACAACTCCTGCAATAAGGTGGAACACAACAGATTATCAAGCAATAAACAAACCACTAATTTAATGAATTACCAATAAGTACAGAATTTTTGTCATTTCTTTCCTGCACCTACCGTGGAATAGACGCCATTCTGGTCGCTGACCGAAGTTTTGCCGTCCCAAAGGTCCAGGGCCCTGGCTGCAAAGAAATAGAAAACAAATAAAAGTTGATTTTTTCACTGAAAAATAAACCTCGGTATGTATTACTTCGCAAAAAATATTTAAACAGAGTTATGACATTAAAAACAAAGACAAGATTCTACATGCACACTTGTATCTATATTTATTGTAACAATTGTAACAATCGTGAACTTGATACCGTGTTTTCAGTACCTGACTTGTGTGTATAGTAGTCCTGGGATCCGTGATGGTAGCCATAGAAGGAGTCGAACCCGCGTTCTGTAGGCGTGTACTCCCATTTGCAGGATCCAAGATGCCATCTAAAGCATATATCACCATTAACAGATTTAGACCTGACTTGTGCACACATGAGCACAACCAAAAAAACATGACGCACGCACAGTGAAAAGGTGTAAGGAAGCCGTATAGCACTACCGATCAACGATAAAGTAACTAAAGAAATACATCATACTTAGTCTTCAACCTTTTATCAAATGATTGCAGATCAATGAATAATAGACATGGGGCCTTAATTTGAATATCATGGTGAAAACGTATAACGCATATATGAACATGGCGGCACACACAGTACTAACGTCATGTGAAAACGTTATGTACTAGTACAGACATTCGAACTATGGACAACCTTACGTATGAAAAGGAGAGACTTACTTCCCGACCATGTGTGTTGCGTACCCCAGTTTCTTCAGTTTCTGTGGCAGGAGTTCTTCGTCCAAGGGGAGTCCATGGGGCTTCCTCGAGTTCATAACACGCTGTGTAATTTGTGAAATTGAAAGTATGTTTTTGGTTATCAAAACATTAAATGTGAGTTAAGATGATGTAAAGAAGAAACGTTTAAACATTCTCAAATTAAAGATTTTTAGAGGGCCAATCTCCTCGACTACTAATGGTATATGAGCATCAAATTTACATAGGATGATGTACTAGTAAAATCAAAACTTTTTGCACAATAGTTGTAGCAGGTAGAATGCATGGCAAGTACTAAGTACAGGTGTACAATGGTTAAATAATAATAATAATATATAACTTATCATATTTTACCTGCATTCCCAGACGGTAAGGAAACTTCCCAGTCAACAGGGCAGTCCTCGATCTGCAGAGTGAAACACAGAATATCTTATTTATAAATGCCTTATCATGATCAATGTGATCTTGTCCTGATTATGAAAAGCATACATGGGGTGTAGTAAGTACTAGTAGGGTGTAGTACTAGCTATAGTCACCGTGCCGTTTGTTTTAGAATTATATTTTACATGTGTACTTACGGTGAGCACGTTGGTTGGCTGTAAGTTTGGTTGAAAATGACGCCATTGGTCGCCAAAGTCTGCAGAGTCGGCGTCATCACATGCGGGTTGTTCCAGCTGACGTCACTCCATCCTGTGTATATAGTTATCAGAAAAATTGTGACGTCACGCAGGTTGGCCCATATGCAACATACATAGGGAATGAAAAAAAGCCGACTTATATTTATCTATGAAGAACTATAGCTTGGAACTATAACTTGGAAAGAAGTTACACTGAACACTCATTGCATTTCCGGATTGTTCCTGAAATTAGGAAGCTTGTATGGAACGTTTGGTAATCCATTTTACAGACGTTGAAGGTGCTGAATATTTGCTTAGAAGAAGTCCCCTACGGTATTATCCATTACAACCGCTGAAACCCATACTTCAAATACCCTAGGTACAGAACAGTTTAATAAGTCACTAATCTACGGGCCAGCTGTCCTCCTGTGTCTTTTCCCACATCTTGAAGCCAAAAACAGAAGCCACCACGGCCAGAAATAGCTAGCGTGCCAAGTTTGCCGTTTTAAACATGACATCATGTCTTTATTTGCTCGAACTTGTTTGAAAGAAGATAGTAAGGTCAGAAGAGTCAGTAATTGTGTTTAAATAGCGTGCTCGGTTCGTAAAAAAAATCGTCAATATGACACATGTGACACGTAGTTCAAGTACTAGTATATGTAGCAGACATAGTGTACAATACCTATACAATAAAGTACCTGTACTTAGTACCTACCCAAGTCGTCGGCTACGATCAGTAGAATATGAGGCTTGGTGCTGGCTTGAGCCGTTCCCTGACCAAACAGACACCCCAAAATCGAGATAAAAAGAAGCACAGCCATCTTCTTCACTTTCTACTGAGGTACTAACTAGTTGTTCCGGTCCTGGGGTTTGCGTGTTACACAACAATCCTTGGTTAGGTAGATAAGCTTAAACAAATGTTCACTCACACGACATGACTACGTCCTGTGCAGGGCATGGCAACTTGGAAGCTGTACGGAATTGTCCGTTAAAAGGGGCAACATCCGAACTGTGGTGAATCTCAAGGACACAAGGCACTAACGTACCGCAGATTTTAAACCAGAAAATTGTTATTATTGTAATAATCATGTAGCTTGTTGTTGTTGTTATTTATCTTGTGATTTATCCAAACACATCATGTACATTACGTAACAAATACTTTTCAGAATTTAAAAAAAAACTTGCATTTCTATTAATACTGTCTTGTGAAGGTTATTTTCATTTGTGTCTCATGCATATGTGCATTTTTTTTATTTTTTTTTATTCCAACATGTAATTACCAGACGTGGTGACGACACACGCAAGTTTTTTCAACTTATATTAATGCCGACACTAACACAGGGGACAAATACATGACAGGACAATACTCATTTACACCTGCGCTAAGTGAGGAAAGTCGTGTAAAGTGCGCCTTTCCCAAGGGCACAAGATCGGTGGCATGTCAGGACTCGAACCCGGGACTCTTAGTTCCGAGTCGCGCACTCTGCCACTACGCCACACGACCCCACGCATGTGCATTTAACAGAGACAGAAAAAAAGAAAGAGGTAGAGAGAGGGGAAATAGCACGGTTCAACCGCCTGAAGCATCCGATTGCACAACATCCACATGTACAACATCTGGGTCGTGTTGCCATTGGCAAGTGAAGCACTCTGGGGTCTAAGCTACTGTGGCTCCAAGGCTTACGTAAAGAGTTCATTACCCTCCTTACGTCTCGGCAGACGATTTCTAAAGAGTTTAGCTTTCAAAATAATGAGGGATGCCCTGAACATCACAAGCTCTGGGGCTTACACACTTCCAACACAAGCACTAGATCTGTCACCACAGGCGTGCCGCAGAGACTTTTTTTATTTAGAATAATAGAACCTCGCTTGTAGAGGGCGTCTACTTGACAAGGTGGTGATCTTACCAATCCATTTGACAAGGAGAAGTACATGTAAGCAGTGTTAGCGAGTGCATATAGCTCTTACAAAGTCTTTGTGCCAATTAAATGCTGCAATGCTGTAGGGCTCTGAAATTTCCGGCGTACCACAGAGGCTTTTTTAATTAAGAATAATAGAACCTCGCTTGTAGAGGGCGTCTATTTGACAAGGTGGTGATCTTACCAATCCATTTGACAAGGAGAAGTACATGTAAGCAGTGTTAGCGAGTGCATATAGCTCTTACAAAGTCTTTGTGCCAATTAAATACTGCAATGCTGTAGGTCTATGAACTTTCCGGCGTACCACAGAGGCTTTTTTAATCTAGAATAATAGAACCTCGCTTTTAGAGGGCGTCTATTTGACATGGTGATAATCTTACCAATCCATTTGACAATGAAAGGAAAGTAGTGTTGGTGAGTAGATAGAGCTCGTGCAAAGTGTTCTGCGCTCCAAACCAAACAAATGTTGCAATGCTGTAGGTCTCTGAACCAAAAATGTAAACTTTAGATTATAGAGAAAGAAAGAGAAATGTTGATAAAGAAGTAAAGGAGGAACGGATGGATGGATCAAAGACAAGATGGAAAAGTCGTTTGCTAAGAAGGGAAAGACAAACTTTTCTACACGTCTACAACCTCCAATACAGGAGGAAAAGACTGAACTTTGACATATGCTTCACCATTATTGTTAGTTAGGAAAAGTTGTTCACCCTGGTGACCGTAAGTGTTTTTTTTTATATTCCAACATCTAATCACAAGACGTGGTGACGGCACACTGAAGTTTTTTCAACTTGTATTAATGCCGCCACCAAAACATTGACAATACAATACTCATTTTCCCCTGAACGAAGTGAGGAAAGTCGTGTAAAGTGCCTTTCCCAAGGGCACAAGATCGGTGGCATGGCAGGACTCGATTGATTCTGAGTCAAGCACTCTGCCGCTGCGCCACACGACCCCACACAAGTAAGTTTGGCCCAGTCTGGTTCATGCCACAGGGTCAAGTTAACGTACACAGCACCGTGACAGACTCTTCTTGCTTTCCAGATGGCAAGTCGGTCCGAGGTTCCATCCATTCTCCTCCCTTCAATTTGCCCTCCCATCGCTTCTGAACAAACGTTTAACAAGGTAAGACGTGCTCACAATCACTGAGTGATTCTAGAAACGTCGGTGAGTATGTTGGGTGCATGTCTTTGCTATCAACTTCAAAATTGTCTTCGCTATTTCCGATCTAGTTGTTAGATTTATAGAGATTTACAGCTAGGGCAGCAGTATGGTAAGTCGACCTGAGATTTCGTCCATACTCCTTCCCTGATACACCTTCCCTGAACAAATGTCTAGCTAGGTAAGACGTACTCCCAATCACTGTAAGTGATTTTAGAAATGTCACAGAGTGTGTTGGATGGATATCTGTTGTTTATACTACCGGAAAATTGGCTTATCTATTTCCAGTCTAGGAGACCATATATTTTGTTATATCTATAGAGCTAAGGCGGATAGATAAAGGCTATATAAAGATTTATCGGATATGTCATTCAAAATGTCACTCAGATACATGTATCATTTTTAGAATATAAATACATGTATATGATTAAGATCAATTATATGTGATATTCCATGCCCCCTACTAGCATTATATGTTAGATACAGCGGTTTCTGCCGTTCCTTTATTTATATTCTTGTCACATACACTCCGAAACATGTTTGGCCAGAGTTCGGGAGGCCATATTCGGTAGTGTAAGAAGTGTTTGACGTTAGAAAACTTTGATTTTATCAGAACACGAAATGAAATAGTTCCTAGATTTTGTCAAGATTGATGGATAAAACAACGAAAACAGTCAATCAATTACATGACTGTAGAAATGAAGGGTATGATTAGCAAAATGCAATTAATGGCTGTCAGTTAAATGAACGTCTCTTGTACAGACTTGCTCCTCCTTCTCCTGATTAGAAAATGGGAGCTTTCGTTCCTTCTTGTTTTGTCGGGCGTCTATCGTTAAAACTACCTTATGTAACGTTAGGACAATACAAAAAAACTTTTCTTGTCATTTCTTTAAAAAGTACGTTCATTTCAAATTCGTCTTCAAAATCAACGCTATACAGGAAAATGTGAAGTTGTCGTTTTTGACAGAAGAATTAAAAACAGAATGGTTGCGACCTGCTTTGTATAATAAAAAAGAAGTTTAGCAGCGTAATTCGCCATGTGACTCTTTGGTGCGTATGGCGTCAATGTGAGACCTCTACAACCCACACTAGTACTCATTGAAGGTCATCCATTCATAGCAGTTAACCAGTTTCTGCCATCATCAATGTAGCTTGAAATAACATGATGATAGTGTTAATGGTCTTTTCATCCTTCTCCTGGTCATTAGAGGTGACCACCTTATCATTTTGAGGCCCCCTTTAGAGGATTTCTATTAAACGCAGCAAATGGTTCTGTTTGTAATGCGTCAGCCTGAGGTTGACAATGGTCTTGACAACCGTCACTTTTATGATAAGGCCACAGCAAGTAAATTTTATGGATGACATCCTCCGCAAACTCCAAATCTAATGCGAGCGGGCGAAAAAAAACAAGGTTCCTACATTTTCAAATTTTGACTCAATCTTTGCACAAATGGTTTTGATTCAGTAGGAATATCACATATACACGGCAAGAATCACATATCACTGCATCAAAGTAAGAAACAAAGCATTATCAGAGCCTTTTCTTGTCTCCTCTCTTCATAGTTATCTGCCATCCACCTTCCGGCGTGACAACAGACATCTTTGCCCATTTTCAGCATGTTGACCACTGTCAGAAGGCAACAAAATTTCTTGTTTTTTTCCAAAATCAGGCGAAAATTAATGCGCGCGCTGATGTCATCCATAAAAATTACTTGCTGTGGCCTTAGGTTTTTTTACAACGGGGTTGTAACGCTTACATAGTCCTCTTCAAAAACATGAGCATCATGGAGGGTTTAGTGTACATACGCCTTATCATTTCTACGCAGCTGTAGTTTCCTTTCAAGTTCTGGTTGAGTAACGTTTCAGTTCAAGTTTAATTTGAAAACTTTGACATTCGTCGTTAAGAAGAGTTGGTGGTTTCTAATCGACTTTTCCCCTCGGCTGGTGAAGCTTAAGTATAGGGTCTATTTCGGCCTAAGTACCATGTTTGAAGTATTTACGTCTGAAATGCGCCTTTACCATACTATATCAGGGTTTCAAATTTCAATGTCTGAAAAGAACAGTAATTCCTTTCCAATGTGTTTTCTTAAAAGGTAAAATATACTATATGTTTCCATTCACTGACTGACAACCATTTTCCTTTAGATTTTATTAAGATTCAATTTTTACAGCAATGCTGGCTTACGTATGATGCTATACAACTGTATATAAGGGTGCGTATTGTAGATCTGTGTCTATACCAAGTAGATCCTCGCGAAACGTAAACTTTTAATCAGCTTAGGTAAGTCAAGGTCTAGTCAAGCCAAGCCTGTGGTAAACTGTGTTAAAAGGGCCATTATGAACGTTGGTGTACTGAGATTTTTTAAAAAGCTGGAGTACCTATTGAAAAGCCGTCACATTCAATAATTATTAATTCATGATACCTATGATTATTAGTTATTGTCTTGTACCTTGTACCTTGGCCCTTAACCCATGCCAGGGTCGTGGGGGTACTGCATCCCTCTCGGCTGTACGTTAGGGTTAGGGTTTCCGCAAAGTTTTCTCCTGTCCATTCTTGACTGTCACCAAGTACAGTAGGAGCATTGTCATTAGATAGCTTTAAACAATGCCTAGAGTTAGATGTTCAAGGGGTTAGGTGTAACACGTCGATTGGTGTAATGTAGCCAGCTGCCGCCGCGCTGCGTGCCTGCGAAGCTGGTGTGTTACGCCGAAAGTCGGTTATACCGGCTATACTGATACAGATGTTGTCAGCCCTTTTAGCTATTGGTAGGCACCAATGAATATATCTCCTTGGGTTTCGTGCCTAAATGTCATCCATACGTTCGCAAGAGTGTGAAATTTCTTGAATCTTACAGGCAGGATTGCCGATTGACAAGCTACGTTTTACCTCCAAACCCTTTAAATTGACAGCGTCCAATTATAAAATCAGCGTGTCCATTAAACGTTCATCAGCGATGCTTTCAGCCCTTAACTGATTTACATGATGCAGATATAATCCGTATATTCAAGTTATAGATGTTTGACGTTTTCCTTTCCGAAGTTTTCTAACTGGTTGATTGATTACATGTAGAAGCCACCATACTTCATATTCTAAGTTAGGCCATGTTGATTTGATTATATGGATGACATCCGCGCGCGCATGAATTTTCGGCCGTTTCCAAAAAAAAAAAAGTTTCCAACCACACTGTAAATTGTACAAAACAGTTGCAAAATGAGCAAATATATACCGAAAGTTGCAAAAAAAATATTGCAAAAAAATATTTGAAAACGATTCCAACGTCGTTGAATGCCAAAATCAAACAAAAAACTAGAGTAGATTATTCGCCATACCATACTCAGTGTCATTTGTTCGACCTTCATAACAACGTAGATTTCATGAAAGCAACTTTTTTTTTTGCAAAACTTTTTTTTTTATTCGCGCGCTCGCATCAGTTTTGCGGTTCCCAGAGGATGTCATCCATATAATCAAATCAACATGGCCTTATGGGTTTTTAATTTGTTGTTTTCCTTTCCAATGATATCCATCACTGTTAACTGGTTTCCTTTCCATGTAGCACGTTATCATATTGCCATTGCTTGGCTCTAAATAATACTGGTACGAGTCTTTACCATGTACAGTGGCAAGGAAAGGCGTCGGTGCGTTTTAGTTGCTTTTTTTCTACCTCCAGTAGCGTCATATGCACCAACTGCACGTACCATAAAATGCACGTTGTATCCTCTTGATTTATGATTACGACAAGCCAACCATAAAATAATCAACGAAATGTCACTGAAAACAGAAAAACATATCCACTACTTTGCGGGGGTAACAAATATATAGTCAACACACCCTGCCACCCATGGTTATCCACGTAAGCCATTGTCGGCTTAGAGGCTTATCACTTGAAATTGCTGTAATTCTTTTCCATTTCATACAATCAAAACTTAAATTCTATCGTCTCTACTTGTAACCGGTGTAAATGTGAGGTGTTGGTGTGGCTAGTCCCAAATTCAGAATATGAAATAAGATAATATATTGAATGATCAATAATAGAATCCACCAAAGGCAACGTCGCCATCTTAGTTGACAGGAACAACATTCTGTACAATATCTTCTATATTAACCTGTAGCATTCTATGCCCTATCTTACCTTGCCGCAAGGATAACCACACCCACACACACAGCGTGTACTAGTGTAATACCCAATGCCTCCTCTTCATATTGAACAAGATTTCCGCGATCTCATACCTTCGCCAGATGTTAACACTTACGACTGACGAATTAAGACTGTTCCTCATTGATTACATACTCATTTGCATGAAATACAAATTCGAGGCCCTAGCATATCCATATCACGAGATTTCAAAACCGGAAGTTCCACTGCAGTTCCGTAACAAACTGAGAACATAACCTTCTGCCGAAGGTAACAGCCCCGCACTATGAAAGTAGAAGCCCGAGTACCCAAGCCTCATTCAGCCGTGCGACCATGTAGAGTGACGGACCGCTTCGCTTACTCTGCCGCAACTACAATGAAGAAGCATCTGAAACCCACTTTTCTGTAGCTCGAGCAAGGCTGAACCTTCTTTTGGTAAGTACATTTTTCACTTCTACATGTTTTTACGATTTCAGACCATATTCACCAGTCGTAAAATTCATCATTTACTGCTGGCATCGTTCTTTTCTTGGATTCATATGCCTGGACATTTTCTCTGCCTTGAATGGTTTAAATAAATTAGAAAAATCCTTGTCGTTTAAAAATATAAAGGCCAAACGAGAAATAGAGTTTTAAGGAGTAAATCGGTTGGCAATTTTAACTGGTCAGATCTGTACGTAAGCATAGCGTAAATTAGGCCGAAGGGCGGTTATACAGATACAGAGCTTGTTGTGCGAGTGCGTAATCTCAAAGCAGATTCGGTGGGGCAAAGGGACTTAATGTTGGCACCTATGCCTAACGTTCGTCCCACGTACTTTAGATACAGGCGGC